CAGCCATTTAATAAGAAATTCTCTTTTTTTGGAACTAAGCATTAACACATTAATACAAAAATAAAGCATGTCTCAAAAATCCATCAGTGCCGGGCGTGGTGGTGAATGCCTGTAAGCCTGTAATGCCAGCACTCGGCCAGTCTGGGATACAAAGTGAGCTCAAGGCCAGCCTGAACTGCATAGCGAGACCCTGTCTCAAAAAGACAAAAAACAAACAACAACAACAAAACAACCAAAAAAAAAACAAGCAAAGAAAAACAACAAAATAAGGGAGAAGAAGCCGCTTATGGTTACAGAGTTTACAGTGTTCTGAAACTGTGGCAGTAATGGTACAGTTCTGCAAATATACTAAAAATCAATAAACTGTACACTTTTGTTTATTTTTTCTGAGACAGTCATGGTATGTTACGCCGGCTGGTTCTGAACTTGCAACTCTCCTATCCTACCCTCCTGAGTATACAGTGTTTGACTATACACTTCAAGCCACATGACTATTTTTTTTGGTACTGGGAATTGAACTCAGGACCTCGTGCTTGCTGGGCAGGTGCTTGTGCCACTGAGCTACACCCCCGGCCCCTTGACTATACACTTTAATGACCCAGCTGCATGGTAGCTCTGTGCTTCCCACTTCCCAGCCACCAACATTCTGGCTTGTCACTGTCACTGTCAGACTGTATGGAATGAATGGTGTCCCTCCCAGCCTCGGGACCCTGCAGTCCCATGAGCCACATACCTACATACATGATGGTGCCCCGGCGAGGGGTCTGCCCGGACACCCGCACCTCGCAGCGGCTGCCCACAGAGATGGTACTGGCTAGGGTCTTCTCTTCCATGAGGCGCTGGGCGGCCTCGGCCTCTTGCTGTGCCCGCTCCTCTTCACTGTATGGGCCGAGCTTGCTGCGCTTCAGGAAGGAGCGAACTGTGTCTGCGGGCCAGACAGGGATGGGGTTAGACCCGATCTCTGGGGCGGCGTCTCTGGCTTCATGAGAGAACATCCCAGCTCCAAGGGGCCAACACTCATCGAGTAACAGCTACCCTAAGGGGCTGTCCGTCACCCGAGCCCCCAAGTCTTCCACCACAATCTCCATCTTTCCCCAGACTCCTGGGGCCTCCCTACAATCCAGAAACTAAGGGATGCTGCCCTCCTCTGGCCCTTCGCATGACCCCATCTTCTGATTTTGTTGTTATTGTGTTGTTTTTTGGTTTTGTTTTTCTGAGATAGGGTCTCACTATGTAGTTCAGGCTGGCCTTGAATTTGCTTATGTAGCCCAGGCTGGCCTGGAACTCACAGTAATCCTCCTGTCTCAGCCTCCCAGAGTGCTGGGATTATAGGCATGCGCCACCACACCTGACTGTTGTTTGTTATTTTGAGACAGGGCGTCTAAGTAGTTCATTCTGGCCTCGAGCTTATCATGATCCTCCTGCTTCAGCCTCCCTTGGGATTACAGCCGTGTGCCGCCACCACACCTAGATCCCCATCTTCTTATGTGTCTCTTTCCAGTCTCCCATTCACCTTTGTCCAGTCCCTGAAGCAGCTCATCGTTCCCACCACACATTCTGATCAGAGCCTAGAGGCCTGCACTGACTACACACGGCCTAGTCCATATCCTTCCATGTTCTGGCCCCACATCCCATCTGCCAGCCCATGCCTCATCTCGTCCTGCTCCCCCAGTCCTTCCACCTTCCCAAGCCCCCATGTGCCTGCCCACACCCCCAACTTCCCAAGCTCCAATCCCTCTATGAGTCCCATCTATCCCCAATGCCTCTCCCATGCCCCCATCTGTCCCTACCACCAACCTCACCCCACCCTGCTGCATCCTCCCCAAGCCTCCACCCCAACTGCCTACTCCATCAACTCCCCGTGTCACCCCTGTCGCCCCACCTGGCCCCTCTACCCATACACACCAGCTCTGGGCCCCACACACCGTATCCTTCCCACCCCGCGTTCCCTACCTTGCCTCTGGTCATAGGCTTCTTGTGAGAGCTCGTATTTCTCCACCTGGGACACATCTTCATACTCCCCAAGGCGGGCACCGCTGTGGTCAATGACCTGTGGGGAGGGGAGGGGAGATCAGGGTCTGACCAGGGAGGCCTGGGATGGACACTAGACTCAGGACACATTCTACAGACTCAGGTCTCCCCCCCGGGAGCAGACACATCCCTCCACCCAGCCTTCTCTCCTCCCCTGTGCTCAGCAGAAGACAAGTGCAAGTGCAGACATCCACACTGACCGGCTCCCCTTGCCCAGTCCAACTCAAGCCCCTGGAGGCCGCACCTATCCCCGAGCCCCGAGACATACTAGTATCAACACCACTGATCATCCGAAAGTCACTGAACCTCATCAACGGAGCTCAGACTTCCTCACTGCTCTCAGGGGCCCTGTGAGGCCCTCTGGCTCCTCCTAGGCTGGTTCCATTCTCCAGCACCAGGAGCGTCTCTTCCAGTGTCACCCTAATATCCAGTCACACACTGCTTACACAGTTCCCTCAAGGCACCAGTGAGGCCATCAGTGGACAGTGGGGATGCCATGCAAGAAACAGACAACCCCTGCCCTAAGGCAAAGCAGCCGTAAACAAGTAAACAGGTCTGTTTCTTAAATACCAGGTGATGACAAGGGCTAGGGAGAAAAATCCAACAGAGAAGCTAAAGAACATGGAGAGGTGGTCAGGGCAGGCATCGGAAAGGACATGGCATCGGAGCCAAGGCCTGAAGGATGAGGGCGACAGAAGGTGCAAGGGCCAGAGGAGCAGCAGAGCCCTGCGTGGTACGTGGGTGGAGCGAGCCAGATGGAGCTTGGAGACAACAGCTCGCTGTAGACCCGAATTTACCTGGAGGTGCAGAGATGGCTCCCAGGTGACTCAGAGGTCCACCGGCTCCCTCTGGCCGCAGACTATGGAGGCAGGGACGGGAGCAGGGCAGAGAGGCCAGAGGCTGGACCAGGGTGGGAGGGGAAGGGGTGCAGGGGAACAGGTGATTCTGGACAGATTTTATAGGTGAAGCTGATAGGATCTGTGCTAGGATGTAGGTGTAAGGAGAGGAGACTGGATCAATGGGCCAAGCACAACCCCTCTGTGTTCGGCCTGACCACTGAAATAACATGGTAAAAGGGAAATGGCCCTTATCTCTAGGTCAAGGATCACTAAGAATTTCTATTTTCTGTCAGTGATTTTTCTAACTTTGAAGTTGTTATTTTAAGCAATGACTGTAGATGGTATTTATAAACAGAAAAGGAATTCTAGAAAAATACAAAAATCCCCTAAGTCCCAGCTCCAGGATAATCTTCCCTGAGTGGTCTGGGACATCAGAGACCTCTGCACCTGTATCGTCTGGGTGTGAAATATGCAGACCCCCCACCCAGGGCAGACTCACATCTCTAGGCCGAGGCCACCCGTGCCAGCCCCAGGTCTCAGTCCTGGGCCCAGCAGAGTCTTGGCCTGTACCTGCGACGGTCCTGGCCTCATCACCTCAGATGCGCCATCACAGCAGCTGTCCCTGGTCTCCCTGCTCCTGCTGTCCTCCGGGCTTCTCCCCACCCATGGCCTAAGGGAGCCCGTGAACACCTGAGTCACAAAAGGGTCCTCATGGCTCATAGAATTCTCACCAGTTTCTACCACCTCCTTTTGCCACAATCCTTCGTATCCACTGTGCTTCTGCCTGCCTCAGGGTGTTTGCACATGCTGTGTGCCCCTCTTAACTCTATTCTTCAGGTCTCTAGTTAAGCAGCAACTGGTCCAGGAAGGCCTCCCAGACCTCACCGATGGGTCAGGTAAACCAGCATAGAGTTTCCAAGCTCTCAGATCTCATGTATGGCCCTCGTCTCCACTGACTCTTTACATTTGGTTCTGTGATCATCTGGCTATCCCTGCCTCACATGATGAAAAGAGCTAAACCAGAAACGTTCTCAGATGTGACTTGTAACTAAACCCCCGGCACCACACAGATGCAATCAACAGTTAATGAACAAATGAAAGAGAAAAAAAATCAGTTGTTTGAGACAGTGATACTTGAAGTCATACAGATCAAGGTCAAAATTCTAATGACAAGCTGGGTGTGGTGACACATGCCTGTAATCTCAGCATGCAGGAGGCTAAGGCAGGAGGATCAGAAGTTCAAGAGTACTGCTTGGCAACTTAGTGAAACCGTGTCTCAAAAGAAAATGAGGAGGGGGCAGGGAATCTAACGCCTTGGATTCAATCCCTAGTACCACCAAAAAAAAAAAAACAAAAAACCTCAGGCAACAGTTCATTTTTAGTTTGTTTGAGACAGGGTCTCAATATGCAGTTCAGGCTGGCCTTGAGCTCACTTTGTAGCCCAGATTGGTCTCAAACTCACACAGATCCTCCTCAGCCTCCCGAGTGCTGGGATTACAGGCGTGCGCCACCACGCCTGGCTTCCCACTTCATTCTTAAAGTAAATTCTGCAAGGTGTGGTGGCGCATGCCTGTAATCCCAGCACTGGGGTGTGGAGAAGGACACTCTTTAGTTACTCTTTCAATGCATTGCCTCACACCTGACCAAGCCGTGATTGTTGGGTTCTGGAGGACGTCTAGCAAAAGCGCTGAAAGCCCCCAGGGACAACACTAGATGCTTTGCTGAGATATGCCCCAAGGAATAACATGATGGCTAACTAGTGAAGTCTCATTCCTGTAATAATTGAGCTGTACTGTCCTTGCTAAAACAGTTGATATCCTCCCATTCCTCTGCTGCCTCCTTTGTTCTTTCTCAATAAAAGGTTACAGAAAATGGTAATGGGGCTGCAGTCCGAGAGGCTGTAAGCTGTTGGGAGCTGCTGAAGCTGGAAAATAATTACACGTGCAGGGTGAAGCCAGCCTGAGAACAGGGGAGCCCCTCAGAGTAAACAAGTCTTTGTAACCCGTTAACTGGTTGCTGGGCAGCAAGACAAAAATTAACCAACCTCAACAGGGTACAAATAAATGCTGTTTTTGGGCAGTCCTCCTGCTCATCAGGCAAGAGGTAACGCCACCTGAGCCTGGCTATCCTCTCTTTTCTTTATTTTCTAAATCCTCTTTCTCCCGGGGATCACTGAGAGACCACCGAGTCCCACAACTGGTGCCCAACGTGGGGCCCCCGGTAAGGAGAGTGGTAGGTGCGGGACCTTCCCCAGAATTTGTGGGCACAACAGCGTGGGGGGAGCGATTGGTAGGTCAATAGTTCGCACTGGAGTGTTATATTGACAATTATCAGGTGTAAAGAGCGGAGCATGGAGGTCTACTGACCTTAAACAATATAGTTACAAAAATAGGCTTAAGAGAAGACAAAAAGGAGAAAAGTATGTTAAACTGCTAGTAGTTATAAACAGTTTCAAAAACCACAGATGTTTACAGATATATATATATAAATGTATGCTGTTTTCTTTACTTTTCTTTTCTGGATTGTGGCTAGAAGGGGTTTTAAAACCACGAAGGATTCAGCTGGGAACTGTACTTTAAAGTTAAGTCCCAAGCCCAAGCGGGACAAGGGTGGCGGCACCACCAGGGGGAGGGGCGCAAAGCAGGTTCAGGGAGAACCCCGAGCTGGGATTCTAGGCAGACCCGGCTGGCCCTCCCCGTCGCCTGTGTGTCCGCGCAGCCTGTCCGGCTGCAGCCACTGGCGCGTGCTGCCAGCTACCAACACGTGCACCAGGAACCCCGTGGGCAGGACATAACCATGGTGCGCCCTGGCTCTCCCTACCACCAGTGCCACCGGCCCGGACAAGGCTGTGCCCGAGTTTGGCACTGGAAATTCATCCCGCTCTAATCAGTGCCTGCTCTCGGAATTTGGGAAAAAACCAGACATCCAGGGGCCAGAGCGAGAGCTCAGGGTAAGAGCTACAACTGGCG